ATTGTTGAAATGTTTAAATGCCATATTTATATGAATTATTAGAAAGTCTGTGCTACGAATGCTGTGCAACAGTGTGTTTTCAACATCGAATAGAAATAACCGGAGTTAAGCAACGAAATCAAAATTATCTTTCAGGCCACAATGTCGGTTTTAATATTTAATATTGTGGTTTAACTTTAATTAAATTTAATATTCTTTGGTGTTACTCGGTCCAGTAGCTATAATACTGGTGTTCATCGTAAACACGATTTATTATTATTATTATTATTATTATTATATTTGTATTATTTATTTTATAAATATTTTATTTGTTTTATTTATTTTTATTTAAGTTAAATATTACGCTTATTTAGCTAAAGGTAAATGTGACAGAAACTTCACTTTGTTTCTCATGCAAAATTTTAGGAAAATATTATTTGTTATTATTTATGTAAAATGACATAATATTTGCTATTAAACACTTCATAACATGGAAATTCGGGGGGCACTACTTGATTATACTGCACACAGAAAATATACCATATTGTAAAAAAGTATCGTTCCGCATGTGTAGGTCTATTAGTTTGTTTAGTGAAGATGAGTTTAATTTTATTGGATGTACTTAGGCGTGCATTTTTATCGAATATTTTTCTTGAGTTGCAAATCTGAGAAAAAAATGAACAATTGTTTTATTCATTTATAAAAAAATTAATAGGTGAATTAAATTCATTCATAAATAATATATCTAATTAATAAATAATAATAAATGCACAAAAATGAGCCACAGTAAAACTAGGGTTACGTCAATATCACATAATAGCTCAATATAACGTTAATTGTATTATGCGAGGGTTAATAGACTTTTGACTTTCGAGGTTACAAGAATGACAGCTTTAACCTTTTCAACCCCACGATGACCTGTTGCCATTTAAAAATGAAATGTATTCGCTTATTTTGAATGTTTTGCACTTGTCAATATTAAACGGACAAAAATGAAAACAGGTTTGTGGTGTAGCCTACTCACTGTTACTGTAAAAAGTGTGACAGCATCATAGTGTGGACCATCAAATTATTCTTTTTTTTAAAGGGCCAACTCAAAGATGCTTAAATAACCACACAAAATGTTGACGTATTAAGAACAGAATTTAATTATGTGAATTGTTGGAATCTAAAGAACAACTAACACAACTTTTATACCGGCGATACTGATCACTTACCTTACAACATTTTGAATTTAAGAAAGTAATTAATATATTTCTTCTGAAGACTGTCTCCCCCCCATTGAGTGGGCACAAACTTGGGTTATTTAATAATATAATTCTTCCCACAAGTTCTTGGATAGAGTAAACATTACAAGACAATATTTACTGAGGTTACAGGAACTGTATTCACAATTAAGTCATAATTAACAGTAAAAAACACCATTCTTTTTACATTAACAGGGTCATATCAAATATAATATAAGACAAGAGAGACCAGAAAAGGCCAAGAATATATACTTTTATATGTAATGAGTCACAATGCAGTTTTTAGATCAATCTCCCTGACCATGATATCCAACACCATAACAGAGCATAGAGAACAATCAGTGGCAGATATTAATTTGTATAACAAAACTGAGTCTCTTCTCCCACACCACACAGCAACTCTTCCTGATTAATTTCTTTCTTCGTTATTTCTTCATTACTCGTTATTACTTCATTATAAGTCCAAATGCATTTCTACACATATTCTGTTAATATACTTACAATATTAAAGATTTCCAATAAATGAGTTAGTACAATCCTATTTAAATACATATGGAGAGAGAGAGCGGGAGAGAGAGAGCATAAATGAATGATCATAAGAGAAAAGTTATTAGGTACAGAACACTGAATATTGTATTTTTGTGTTCTATCAATTCAAGTAATGGTCACTAAATATACCTAATGACACACATCTATAGTTCACAAAGGTCACAGACATGTCGTTGGGACCTATACAGTGCACAAACTAAATTTAGTCAGCAAACACTAGTATCAATTCAATGCATCCATAGTCAAAGTCTTATCACAGTGGTTTAAAGAAGATAACTCAACTGAAAGGTGAGTATTATGAAACACTAAATAATGTATGCTCTACAAATCTAAATATACTTTAAATATTTTTGCCGAAATGTAAAGTGCCTCTCTTCCTTGCATACCTGTATTATATTTATTTTTGTACAATTACAAATACAAATGTAGCCTTATCTTCATTTCCATATCAAGACATCAATAAAGCCATGCATTGCTTGTGAGGATTTAAAAAGAAATCAAATGAAATAAAATAAAATAAAGTAATAGTAAAACGTGGTAATAAATGCTGGCTGAATATATTCGGTCTAATATATTAGTCTGAAAACTACAGAAAAAGTTTTCCTCATTGCAATGAACGTAGCGGTGTTCAGCTTTACAAATTAAGGGCTAAATGTCGGTAAATTTACATGGGCAAACTAAGTGGAAAACAGAGAAAAACTGAGTGAGATATAAGTAGGAAAAAAGCACCAAACACACGGACTCTACACTTTTAACACAATATTTTCTCTGATTTTTAGAACTCAAGGGCACAATAGTCTAACCTGGCAACAGCAGTTTGCATTCACCAATAAGCAGATGCGTAACGCCTCGACAAATTTAATTTCCAGTCATTTATGCTAAACATAGTTAACACATTTTATATAGACACATGTTAATTGAAGGTACCACAGTTATCTCATTACTCAATACTGATTAAATGTTTGAGATAAATAGACCCAACTCCTCAACAAAGCTAGTAGAAAACAGGCTAAATACTTTTGAATATTTAAGGGATACGTACACAGATATAAAGCCATGTGTCTGCATACATGTTCAGAAAGAGAAGATACAAGTAATAGGCCTATCTCAAAATAAAATTAAAGATTAAAATACTACCCATAATATAATCTCCCTAACATGAAAAGATGACGAAGTGGTAGGTAATCGGAGTCATTTCCATCTGTTGTTGCTAAGCAGCGAAAGATTTAATTTTTTATTATATGTATTTAAGTATGAAATAAATTAATTTAATGTGAGATTGACAACTGGAATGAATGAATAAACAGAACAACACCATCTATACATCGATAATTATCAAGATTCTATCGATGAACGATGCTATAGGCTACACTGAGCTTGATAATTGTGTAATAACCCAAATCATCATCTTCAAGATTTCAACTTTCAGCAGTTTCCAGGTAATTCTGCTCTGACTAAAAAATATGAAGACATAGTCTAGTAAAGGGGCGGGAGCTAGAGCTCATCGCATTATTCTGACGAAACATTATTTGACTACCTCAAATAATCGGTCGAAATATAGCTCTGGTCAATGCAATTATAGGCCTTTAAGTCCTTTCAATTTTCCGTGGTCCGATGTAAAATAACGTACGAGGCCCGCTTGAGTTAAAAACGTCTCTTGCTCCCATTTGCCCTTTGGCCGACATTAGAGTTGCAGTGCAGTAAATAAGTTAAGTCAAATAACTGAACAATTCCCTGCACAGAGAAAGCAAAGAACGTCCTTAAGAACTTATTTCCTAGCCACGCCTGGAAATGAATATGTCACATAATATATTAAGCGCGTCCACATTTAAACAGACAAACTAGGCCTACATCTAGAGTGGAAAGTAAGAAACCGTAGCTATCTCACTTCCGACTGTGAAACCTTAAAAAAATAGCCGTAAATCTGTCCGGCGGTACAGCATACTCACATGTGTGCTCTTGTACGAAAGGGAGAGTAAGAGAGAGGGACAGAAAGAAAGAAAGACAGCAGAAAGGAGGGGGGATAAAGCTTGCAGAAAGATTAGGAGAATATTTTCTCGTAGAAAATGCTGAAAGTGAAAGCGTGATAGCTGAGGACTAGACCGGAATGAAGAGCTGATTTAAAGATTTTTGTTTTTTAATCTCTAGAATATAAAAGGGAGCTCCTTTCGAGGAGAGACTGAGGGGGAGAGGGAACGTGAAATGGCTTGGAGGTATAAAAAGCTCTGCTTGAAACACTCAACGCGTCTCTGAACTTGATCAGATTTTGTGTGTCCTGCAGCGAGTCACCAGTAACCTTGTGAAACTTCCTCAATAGCAAGAATTTATTTCGCCTTGGAAAAAAAAAATCCTAGGGATATTATAATTACCACCATATTTCTTTCACTCTTATTTTTGAGTTCTAGGCTACACTCCACAGCGCGATGTGTATGTTTCACCATTTTACGGCTTCAGGAAATTTAGAACTCTAAAAGGTGATTTCAGAAAAAAACAAATCCAAGAAAAAAGAAAAACCTGATGGACGCATATAGCTAGTCTATGTACATGTGATAGATAGATAGATAGATAGATAGATAGATAGATACAATGATTTACAAATTAATTATCTTCATTTCCAATCCATTTTTAAGTCACTTTTGACATTTTCTTCTCCATTTCGCTTTTTTTTAAGAGGCTCGGCAAAAGTGTTGAGAAATTAAAAAACAAATCCAAGAAAAAAGAAAAACCTGATGGACGCATATAGCTAGTCTATGTACATGTGATAGATAGATAGATAGATAGATAGATAGATAGATAGATAGATAGATACAATGATTTACAAATTAATTATCTTCATTTCCAATCCATTTTTAAGTCACTTTTGACATTTTCTTCTCCATTTCGCTTTTTTTTAAGAGGCTCGGCAAAAGTGTATTTTGAGAAATTAATTGTCAAGCAACTCCTGAAAGTGTATGTAACTTTGGGAACAGCTGACGTGCTAAGCACGGGAAATAAACAAGCCTTTTACTGAACCGAAATAAAGTCCCGTTGCTTTACCTGCAAATAATGCCAACAACAACCAATCAAATCTACTCACTGAAACGAACTGCCATTTTCAATACTAAACCATGCCAATCAACGAACGCGCAGCCAATTAGCACCCTTCCTAGCTGTCACGTGACAAAGAAAGCGCTGTGCTCTCATTGGTCAGCATAGAGCTGCCTCCCGAGCTCATTTATGTGCAAGGAGTGAGTGATTGACTTTATCAGTCCAAGGACATCATTCGCCTGGAAAGGGGGGGAAGTTTGATCTTCTTTCTCACGGATCCCAGTTACGGGAGTTTTCCTCCCGTTTACCGAGACTAGGAATTATTCTTTCGTTTTTCAATTCAAGATTTCTTTATTGAAGCCTACGTGAAATTGTGCTCAGTTTACCGTTACCCACTTCACTCCGCTAAACTGGGGTTTCTCTTTTTTTTCTTTTCTTTTTCACTTGCTTTTTCTCGATTGAGCCCAATGACTATGCTCCTTGATAGCGCTCCTCAGTTCCCTTCACTAGGAGTAGGGGGGTTCGGAACGCCTAGACACCATGAGTTGGGAAACCGAGATCCCGGGCTGGGGCTCAGTCCATTCGCAGATTCATCTCACTCGGCTGCCTTCAAGATAAGTCCCGTTACTCACGATATCGCCTCCAGCCAGTCATCAGCGTTCACCCCGCAAGCTACTGGATACGCAGCCGCGCTCGGACACCACCACGGAGGACAAGTTGGTTCTTACGCCGGTGGAGCATTCAATTCGACCAGGGACTTTCTCTTCAGAAACAGGGGCGCAGGCATCGGAGAGACCGCACCGCCGAGTGCCCAGCATGGAATCTTTGCCGCTTCTGCTGGGAGTCTACACGGGCCCCACGGAATTTCGGACAACCCGGGACATCTGTTGTTTCCTGGACTTCACGACCAGAGCGTGAGCCACACTTCACCGGGAGGACATGTTGTAAACAGTCAAATGCACCTGGGTTTACGCGGGGACATTTTTGGCCGTCCAGATCCGTACCGAGCTGTGGCAAGCCCTCGTACGGACCCTTACGGCACCGCTCAGCTCCATAACTACAACCATGCCATCAATATGAACATGGGGATGAACGTACCCACACACCACGGTCCGGGGGCCTTCTTCAGATACATGCGGCAACCTATTAAGCAAGAATTGTATTGTAAGTGGATAGAAGAGAATCAGATGAACAGACCTAAAAAGACTTGTGACAGAACTTTCAGCACAATGCATGAAATGGTGACACATGTTTCAATGGAACACGTTGGCGGCCCAGAACAGAGTAATCATATTTGCTTCTGGGAGGATTGCCCGAGAGAGGGGAAATCCTTTAAGGCCAAATACAAACTCGTGAACCACATCCGAGTGCACACGGGAGAGAAACCGTTCCCTTGTCCGTTCCCCGGTTGTGGGAAAATCTTTGCAAGATCAGAAAATCTTAAAATTCACAAAAGAACTCACACAGGTAAGGCATTCGTATTTCCCCCTATTTTTGCTTACCCACTGGTTTGGGGAAAATAAATATTCAGTTATTAATATTCCAGCGGGGTTATTTATACGTAAATTGCAGTTCTTTAAAAAAAAATCAATAAATAAACAAGTGCATTTTTCTTTTGAATCAATTTTAAAGTAAATGTAATAAAAGGTTTATTTAAACACTTTAGGTTTGGGGGAATTAAATACATTTGTCAAATGTTTGGGAAGATTAAATTATTTTGATCACATGACCGTTATTAAGGAATTTAGTTTCTTATTCAATTGTTTTTCCGGTTGAGTAAAATATGTTTTTGTTCAAATGTATATACATTGCATCTCTTTGAGGAGATGAATAACACAGAAAAAATAAAATGCAAAGCTGCATGCGTTGTTGTGGAGCGAATTTGTGAATGGACTGTCCTCTTGCATTTGTGAAGCTATTCCTGATGCTTGTGGCTATAAAGTTAGAAATAGCATGGGATTTGTGTATTGTGGATGCACGAATACAGTAGTACACATTGGTCTGGGAAAGTATGAAGTGGTCGATTTGCATTTAGTCTGATGGCTGGATTTGTGCCTAAATAATTGACCCCTTTCGAGATCCACATGAAATGCAAAGCAAGCTGTTGAACAGTCTATATGGTTACACTTGGCAGACAAGAAACGTGTGCAAAAATTGTTCACCAACTGCCACACAGTAAACACGACAATGCATGGCGTGTTGGTTTGCTAAAACGAATATAAAGATTCTTGGGAAGTAAAATAAAGGATAACAGCAGCAAGGACTCTCAGGGAGCATGAGATGTGGGTAACCAAACCATCTAGCGTGAGCGCAACATGGCCTGGTAATTTGGAAAGGCATATTACATAACTGAAAGTTGTACTGAACATCCGCTCTATTAAAAAAAGTTACATTACTAAACCTTCAGTGTTTGCTCTCACTTGCAGGTGAGAAGCCATTTAAATGCGAGTTCGAAGGCTGCGACAGGCGCTTTGCGAACAGCAGCGACAGGAAAAAGCACATGCACGTGCACACATCTGACAAGCCATATATCTGCAAAGTGTGTGACAAGTCCTATACACACCCCAGCTCTCTCAGGAAACACATGAAGGTAAGGGACATTTTCTGATAAAATAAAAATGTTGTAACCCCTTAGATAAACGTCATATGCATTATACGAACAATGCGTTTACATTCATTTTAAGCAGGCCTGATATTGTTCTGTATTTTGGTTCACAAATGTATAACAGAGATCAGAAATCCTAGACATAGCATAAAGTTTAACCGTGTACAAGCGTGTTATTTCCTCCTGTATATCATACATCTATGAACATTGTAATTCAAGGTACATGAATCACAAGGCTCAGAGTCGTCTCCAGCTGCTAGCTCTGGATACGAGTCCTCCACGCCGCCAGTGCTGGTTTCTGCGAACACTGAAGACCCGACAAAAACACCCACGTCTGCAGTGCAAAATACATCTGCACACAGCGATGGACTACCACCTAATTTTAACGAATGGTACGTTTGAAGCTCCAAGCAGATTCTCAAATGGTGGACCAAAAGGTTGAAGTAACCTTTTAAAAAACTATTTACGCTATGGCGTTCAAAATGGCATTGAAACAACAGGAAAAGATGAGAGTTCGCCAGCAGGCCTCGTCCGTTCTCAGGATTCGAAATTTGACTTTATTCCGAGTTTGAAGAAAACTAGCAAGACATAAAATAACAAAATAACACTTTCTAAGAATAAATGGTTTTCATTTAGTTTTCAGATTTCAGATGATTATTTTATTTTTCATTTTATGTATTTTCTGAAGAAAAAAAAACAATATTTAAAACTAATGGCAAAGAAAGAATATTTCACGGTGTTTTATATTAAGGTGACACTCACATCACCTTTTGATTGATTGTTAAAACTTCAGACAGTCTTAAGAAACGTGCCAAAGTCTTTGTCTTGAACTTGAACAAAAAATAATAAATCATAAATAAGTATATAGCCTACTCGTGAATGTATTTCCTTGTTTGATGGAGTCAAATCTGTTGTCCAAGTCCGTTTTCAGGTGGAGAAATGTGGTAGGCCTATTAGCTTACGATTGTTACCTTTGAATATAACGTTGCCTTTGTTAATAATGATGTAAATACATATCCATGATGCCATATTTATCAATTTGTAATTTAATTATCGGCGAAAGAGCCGAATCTTAAATGATATTTATGGAAATGTTTTCTAACAAGACTGTACAGTTTTGAGTCAATAACCAGTTTTAACGATGAAAAGGGAGTCAGTTCTAAAGTTCCCACGATACGATTGTATCTTTTTTAACCAATAAATGTGTCTTATCTGGGTCGTAAAGTATTAATTATATTAATATTATGACATGACATGACATGATATATAGTTTCAAGTATTTTCCAACGCAAGTTCATGTGAGGACCGGTATAAAAAGGAATAAAAACATTGTTTCTCCCCCCCCCATATTATCAAAATGACTTTTCCCAATTTTCTCTTAGCATCAGAGTATAGACTACATCTCTATAAGGAACACTTACAAATTCGAGAGGCCCACTGACCAGTGTTTTCATCGACACGTCTATTTCTGATCAGATACACCATGCAATAGCATAGCTTTCATTCATGGATCAATTTTGAACTCGTGTGACAGTGTTAAAGACATTATATTCTTGGGGTTTGAGGTACAGCCATTTCAATCAGTATGGTATTCCATTTTTGATGGTTCCAGAACTGTCTTTGTGGATGCAAGTCTGTGTTTAATGTGTCAAAGAGGAGCAATGATCTGTCACAACAGTAATCTCAAAATAAAACTTTTTGTCTGTCAGTTTGCATTGTTTTAAATGTAGTTCTTCTGTGAATATAGAGTGTTGTTTGTTATGAATACTGTGGTATAACATATAGAAAACTTTGATTACACATTTGCTTGTTTTATGTGAATAACTTTTCCAGATGTGGAACTGTATATGTGTGAATGAAATTTAGTATTAAGAGTACTAGAACTTTTTTAAGGTGGAAAAGTGAGGGAAAATATGTGTTCAGTGACACCAAGAGTTACAGCGTTGCATTGTTACATATTTTTTAAGAGACTAAAATTATGCATATAAATATATTGTGCTTATGAACATGATTTCAAACCACCAGCACTACTTTTGAAAACAAACGTAAAAAATACAGTACTTCGTAAGTAACGTGATATATAAATACGTTTATTTAAATAATTTAATGAATATATGTTTTATATACTATTTTCTATACGTTAAGTTAAAAAAAAGATTTATTTCAGCCACCTTCGATGTATCTTAAGCCCTGATCTCATACAGATCTGATGTAAAAATGGAGCTTGAATGTGATTCTGTGACATTTTCTCGTGGAAATGGGTCACGCATCAAGTTATTCCTGAAAAGCACATGTTTAACTGATGAACTGTGTCACTGTGCCATTTTCAAGGCAAACGATGTTACTTCAACATACCTATTCAAAATTCAGCAAAATCTTGTACTTTCTTTCGAAGTAGCGTTATTGTTTGTTGGTTTGTTTAACAAACTATTTATGACAAAATGTGAACAAGTTTTTGACTGGAATTAAAACAAATTCTGAAATGTCACAAATGAAGACCTCAGTTTTTCTTTTTCATTTCTTTCTTTTGCTATTTTTCTCTGGTTCTTACCGTGAACTTATACGCCCTACTCCAGCGGTAGGCTACGAAGCAACAACACACTTGAACTTGACAGTAAGATGCCGCCATCTTAGCATCCTGTTTCTTTGAGGGACGAAAAAGTTCAGAATTGTGTAGCGTTAACGCAGCTTAACAGCCGTCTTTAGCACATAATTATTTCAGGACCTATCTTGGGACCTTGGGGAGTAGGCCTACACATGCAAGAACCCTGCTAATTTTAAGTTTGAAAACTTTCTGCCGAGATACGCTAAGCCATTCTCTCGATTTCAGTCATGTAGGCTGGGCTTGGCAGACATTCATTCAAAACGTGTGGTAAAAACAAGAGAGATTGCACCAGTGGCAGAATGCACATTTTATTATTCCACTGCATTACACAAAGACTTATTATATTTTAAATAAAATTATTAAAATATATAGCCTAACAGTGCAGCACTAATTCAGACATTGCTGCAGAATTTAAAATAAATTATAGAAAACGTAGGCTATACAAAATATTTAAACTGCCTTATATTTATAAAAATAATAAGAAAAAAACAACCCGCTATTTAGAAACACGAATCAATAAAAGTATAAGTGGTGAACACGCAAAATATTTTTTCACTGCGTCAAGTTCACGATTTAAAGGCTATATAGGCAACCATTATTTTTGGAGGACCTGCGGGGCTCTTTTCTCCTTCCTCGCTTGGTATGCAGTATTTTAGCCCAACCCCCATAGACTCCACCCTCATATCAAACCCACCCCCATCTTCAAATATAAACAGTTTTACAAATTCATTTAAACGGAATCTTTTCTGATTTCTGCGCAAGCGCAGTTTTTTTCTATTTCACACAACATTTTTCTCCTCACGCCATCGGCTAGAGTCTATCTGACAAATGCAGTGACGTCACAACATGGCGCTGGCTGTTTTGCTGAGGCACCCCGAAACACCAGCTGAGCTTGACTACATGGGCTTTTTTACGTCCTGCCTAATTTTTAAAGCTGTCGCGAACAACTAAAACTATAGTAGGGTTAATATAAGAGAAGTGTTGGTCCTCGAACAATACCTGTCTGAAGAATGACAGGCAGTTTATAATGAAGTCTGAAAACGATTAGAAAACACGTCGGCGCTGCAGTCACGTGGAAGGAGTTTTGAAAGTGGCGGTTGTTTGCTGGATGAAGTAAAACGGTGAATTTAAGATCTGTTGTCAATAAAATGCTGGACAAGCAGATATGAGAAATGTGAGGTAGGGTTTTGTTTAATCTGTAGTCTAACAGAAAAGGTTATCAAATAGGCTTACATACATTTTACTTAACCTATTTAGGCTACTTAATATATAACTTAAACACACTGGGATAAGCATTAAGTAGAAGTATTCAACTGTTTATGGGTTGGATGAGCGCTCTGGTTAATACTAATTTAGGGTCCTTTCCCTAGTCCTCCCTGAAGCCACACTCAATCTCATAGCTTTGCTGGCTAAGCGGGGTGGCACGGTCTAAAAGACGATAGACCGACACGAGCAGGTTCCAAACGCTTTTTGTCACGCAACTGCGTGCGCGATCATAATAAACCCAGGAGTTACCTTGAAGGTGCCGGGTTATACTTTACTTTTCAAACATTAGAAACACCCAAGTACATCATCGCCACACACATATCAACACACACTTGTACCAACCCTGTGATACCAGCCCTGTGATGCAGAAGTTAATTCAATGCCGTCGAACAAGTGGGTATACTTTATAGGGGATCCTTTAGTAGTCAAGCAAGGTAAACTCACTGCTGTAATGTTAAAAAAATGTACCGAATATTTAGGCTATTCATTTAATTACCCCATATTGTAAAAGAAAACATTGTAGACTAGAAGTTATGGCATTAGCTATACCTGTAGATAAAATAATATATACATTTCTGACTGTATAATTGTATTTATACAGAAAACTCTACAACTCCAATGCTTATGTAGCTACAATTCGCTATAAAATAAGTGAATTTGACTGTATTTGTCTTTAGCTCGCTATTTACCAAACAATACCAGAGTGAGGTGGAAGGTAGGGACAATTTGCACGTCAATTAACCCTTTTCAGTGCGCTCTACCGATGCTTATTCACCTGAAAAGCGATGAATATGCAAAGGTGCTCAATATGACTGTTAATCCAGGATGTGTCCTTTCAAAATCTACTTTGGATGTGCTGCAAGCCTATTGTAATGTTAAAGCAAGGCAATTGGAGCCATCATTTACCTTGATGATTCGCAAAGTTTGCGTTTAAATTGATTTACCCTACACATCCCTACTGGAATTAACTAAGGGTTTTTTTTTCTGGTACTTTAAATAAGACAAGACGATTTTACTGCCAGAAGTCCAACAAGTGTCAACTGCTTTTTTGTTTAGAATTAAATCTGTAACTGTTCCTTCCTCGTCGTTTTTGTTATGTTAGTGGACATTTTATCTCCTGCATCGCCTTATTTGCAGCGGGTTGTTAGCACAGATAGTATCTAAAATTACAATTTGCGTCATATTAACGGCTTGTGAGATAGATAGATAGATAGATAGATAGATATTCTCTTTTTATTAGTATAAACATTTTATTAGCTTGTACTGAAGGCAGATTAAACACAAAGAAGGAAAGTTATTATTTTTAATTTCAGTGAGCACAGGCCCATTTTAACAAGGAACCATAAAGAAACCTAATAACCTAATAAAAATAAACGCCATCAAAGTCTGCGCATATAAAAACTGCTTGTGTTTAAAACGCCTTCATTGAAATGCATACCCATGCGATTATGTTTTAGACTACGTCGGGTAGACGGTAACACACAGGGGAAATTTAGGTGTAACACTTTATTACATAAAAAAAAAAGTTATGGGGGCTTTAAGGACAAACCTCCTCTTACTATGATGACGATAAGAAGTTATACCGAGACGTCGTAAACTGTATTCTCATAACGTGCGAAGTAAAAGACAGGGTAGGATGAATTCCTAGACCCAAATACTTTTCACACTCCAGAAATAGTTTAAAGTAGGCTACTATTTTCAGGTCTACGTGGATGTTTAAATAAGAATGCTGCGAATCAATTTGCACCT